TCAAGGCGACTCAAGAGGTGATATATGTCATAAAGGATCGGTTTAGGTGCATGAGATGAGCTCAATGGATAGGGTGGGTGCTAGGCGGAGCCGTAAGCACGAAGTGGATACATAGACTTACATAGGTGAATCGATGAATCGGCTGCTTTCCAACGGATCTGAATACCAGGAAGGCAAATAGCTACTTTTTTGAGAGGCAACGGAGAGAGAAGACGAAAGGCTAGCGGGTGCAGGCAAGAAGCCCGTGGTCTCCCATCCCCCATTTCCCCTCAACTCAGGTCATCCGTATTGACACACGTTTCTGCAGAACTCGACTCGACCAAAAAAGCCTCAATCATGAACCCAATTCGTTTTGTTGCCGTCCTTGTGGCCACTGCTCTCGTCGCCCTTGCGGCCCCTCTTCCTGTCCCCAACCCAAACCCTGGATTCGGATTGCCAACGAGCACAGCAGAGCCAGCCCCAGAAGGCGGAGTTAAAGCCGACTGCTGGGGGTGTCATGATTATTGAGGACTGATAGTTCGTTGGCACCCTATACAAGTATGTGTAGGCATGTACACCTGAAAGCTCATCGTCAAGCCGTCAACTATGTTATCCCATTCCCATAACATATGTTATTTTCATTATCAACATCGTAATCGGTTTGGCTCTGCAAGACTTGACGAAATAATACGACCTCTCTCGAGTGGTACAATACTCAACTCTTACTGCCGCGGATACTCTACCATTTCTCAGCATTACTGGCTTTTACTTGTTCGAAATCCTTTACTCCAGTTGCCGATGGTCCATGAGACCCCCTTTCCTCACGTCTATACCCGGGCCCTAGTTCGCTCCTTTCCATTACATCACATCCTCGCGCAGTTGTGAGTGCTTATCACGCGCTCTCACCTTGGTGAGTGATGACTGTGGCCCTGCATAAGCTTGCCACCCTTCCCCTTTTTCCCTCCAAGAGCTCACACCGCCGCCGCCATCTCCTCCTTTCTCATTGTGTTTCTCTCTCTCTGGGGTACGTCTCTCGG